TCGACAGGAGACAGTTATCATAACACAGATATAATTTCCAAATTTCGTCATAGGTGGGATTTGAACCTTAGACCTGCTGTCTGGAGAATAACAACCTAACTACTATACTAGGATCACTATCCTCTATTGATGCCTTTTTATTTAGATTACTTTTGTATCTTAGAAGCATAAGTCTTTTTGACTCTTCTGTTTCTGGGTTATATGTGCTGCATTCTGTCATTAGCAATGCTATTTTATCATATATTTTTGCCTCTTCATCTGAATTCTCAAGAATTTCTTTTTCTGTTTTATTTAATAGCATTTCTGCTTGCTTATTAGTTCTATCATCTCTTTTTTTATTGATTTTTTCTAATTTATCATTTGGGTGCCTTCGTTTAAAACTACTCTCTTAAATTATTAGTTGTGTTACAAGTGCTTCTAGCTCTATTAACTCTCTACTTTAGTAGTCTTTATGCTCTACTATTTTGTTGTTTACCTTTTTTCCTTTCTTTTGGTCTTTGCCTTTAGTATCTTCTTTTGCCACTGTATTTTTTCTTTTCATAAAAGTCTCTTGACTTACTAGTTGTGTTGTTGGTAGCTCTAGCTCCATTTTTGTTATCGTAGTTTGTGCTTCCTCTTTACTGTCATATATTACATCTTGCATGATATTTTCATGCACTTCTTCTTTTTGATTTACTAGAAATCTTTTTTCTATTGTTGCAGTCTTTTTCTTATAAAGATTTTTTTGCACTTCTCTGTGCTTGTCTACTAAGACTCTTATAATATATACTTGAACTAGGTCACTTGCCCCTAAAAATTGTGCTATATCTATATCTATTTGTACTATGCAAGCTTTTAATTTGTTCAAGCATATATACTTTTTTGTTGATGTTTATTGATTTAAGTTGTAAAGCTTTTTGATTTCTGCTATCGATATTTTAATTCTAGTTGTTTGTCTAACTTCCTATACTATTCTATTCTAAAAGCTTCTAATTATTTAACTAATATCTATTCTTATTGCTTATGCTTTATTTAGTCAGTCATGTTTTGTACTTATTTCCTAATTAGACATGTGCTACTTTGTTTGCTTGTTTGTTTACTAAATTTACATGTTTGTTTACTTTGTGCTTTGTTTATATGTCAATTAATCAGAATTACAGGGTTATAGCCAAGTTTACAATTTTCCAAAAATTTTTCAAAAATTTTCAAAGTTTTTTATTCTTTAATTGAACAGCTTTTCCCAGAAGTTGTTCTATTAAAGCCTAGCTATTTTTGTGTTTCCTTTTTTTTTTCTTAATGATGCAAGACCAGTTTATTTAATTAACTTTAGGCAAACTAAAGTGTATTGATTTATGATCTTACAAAATTGAAGATTAGTAGAAAGAGTTTTTTTTTTAATTTTTATATAGAACAAATTATTATTTTATTATTTTATTATTATTAGTTATTATTATTTTATTATTATTATTTAGTATTAGTTATTCTATTATTGTATTATTATTATATTACTAGTAGTTGTTAGAACTTTTTAGTTAATTAGTAATCACTTAGTCACTTAGTTACTTAGTTGCTTAGTCACTTAGCTGCTTAGCTACTTAGTCACTTAGTAATTAGTCACTTAGTAATCATTAGTCATTAGTTGCTAGAACCTTCCAGTTACTTAGTAATCACTTAGTCACTTAGTCACTTAGTCACTTAGTTGCTTAGTCATTTGACTGTTTAGCTATTTAGCTCACAGATATATAAATTCTGCTAAATTCCCCAAGTGTGATTAAGCAACAGACACTTCTTTTCTCTTTAATATTGTAAACACATTTTGGAATTCTTTAGAAACAGAAATCTAAGGATAACTCTTCTTGTTATTATTTTAATAAACAGCTTTTGACTATAAACTGTATTGATACTCCTTCTCTAGGGTAATTCTTACAGACAAGGTTTATTTCCTCTTAGTAAAATAAAGTAAAGTTATTAGTATTGCATTACCTTTCCCAAACTGCCTCAGAGAAGGGTATAGTTTTTTGACAACGTCTAACAGAAGCTATACTTCCCTCTTGAACACTGCATATACCCATAAGGGATTCTTTATGCCGTGTTGTCGTTATAGTGTGAAAATTAAGAAGGCTTTCATCTATAATACTACCTTTGATATTATATATATATATAATATTTCTATATATAAAAAAAAGAAAAAAAGTTAAAAAAATTTGACCTTTTTTAGAGTTTTCAGTAACAGACATCTAGAAAGCTTTCTAAAAATTTAAAAATGCAAAATTTGATAGAGATCTTGACTCTAAAAATTTTCTGTTACTAAAAAATTTCAGTGCCACTTGGCTATACTAAGATATCACATATATACTTACTATATATTTTTTATAATACTATTTTGAGCTGTTTTCTTTAGCATCTCCTAATAATAGTGGTTCTGAGAATGATACTTACTAGCATGAGTTCTGCATATTCTATATATCGAAGATGTTAACTTAACACAACTATATTCTTTATATGATATATGGCTAGGAGAATCTCAGTGAATTGTACACCCTTCAGATCAATAGCAATCTCGATTACATACTTTCCCACTTCTAAGAATATAAGAACAACAGTAAAATCCTATATCTAAAGTTTTGCTAATATGTTTTTAAAGTAGTATATATTGTTTAATACTAATTACCTAAAATAATTAATTTTTATTTTGAACTTTTCTCTAATCACTATTATAGTTTTAAATAATAATGTAATATAACTACCCAAAATATTCAAAATTTACAGGAAACTATTGATCATATGCCAGCAAAATCAGAAACACCACTTTTTTAACCAAAGAGCACAAAAAACTTGGAAAATTTTGAGTCAAAGATAGAGGAAGAAAATAGCAAGGCATTCTACCACCAAGAGGCCAAAGCCATAAGCATTGTCAAATATAAGTATAAAATCTGCGATAATAGTATAAAGATAAGACAATTTCTCAATACAGATTCTGTAGATAGAATAGAAGCTATACTTAGTAAACAGCAAAGACATTCATTATACAAATTTGTTGATGGTGATGACCCACTTTGTTCTATTATCAATTTTGATTTATTTAAAGAAAAATTTGATAAAATTGAACCTAAGTTTACACCTAAAAAGATAAAAAATATACTTTATAATGCTTTTACAAAAACTTGTTTGAATATATTTCTAAAATAGAACAAAACTACTATCACTATTGCCAGTAGTAGTGATTTAAAAAAAATGTCTTATTATATCTTAACATTTAGAATGTGTCTTAAGAATATTGCCAAAGTTGTGGGATTTACTAAACTTGTTCATAAGCAACTTCCAGTGGGTTTACAAGACAAAAAATTGTTGACAATATCACAAATAAAAGATCATTTTTATTATAAATACTTGGAACATTAAAATTTATTGAAGAGATAAGAGAACACATATGTGTAAAGAAAGCATTAGATTCCAAAAATAGGAATATTTTTGATTTTATGCTTTATCCTCCTAATGATGAAGTGCCAGTTATAGATAGCCTGATCTTAGAAATCCCAAAAGAATTAGTGAAAAATAGTAAAGCAGATAATGGGACCATTGGAGCTAAAGTCGATTATGTAGAAAAACTACTCAATATAATGAATATCAAAGGTTTTGATGTTTTATATCCAACTTCTGTATATATATTTACTTTAAGATGTATAACAGAATCATATTGCCCTCTATGTAATCAAGAATATAGCAATGATAATGCATATGTAGTTTAAAACAGAAAAACTTATCATTACTATTATTATCATGCAGATCAAGATATACCTAAAGGTATAAAAAAACCTTCATTAAAACTTATCATTAATAAGAATATTAAAAATCAGGAAAAAACTTCACCACCACTCTAAAAAATAGAACATCTTAGAATTTTTGATCCAAATAACCACTTCGTATAGAGTGACTTAATTAATATATGCACATTAGAAGAAATATATACTTGTAATCAAGTTTATAAAGCAATACAAGCAACTATCACATGTATCCAAACAACTTCAAAATTATAGATACTTAAAATGGAAAATTCAGATAATAGTTTTTACTACAATATGGCATCTAAACTGGATTTTGCCAAGTATAAAATCAAAATGATAAAATATGAAGGTAAAACAATAAAGTTAAAAACATTAATAGACTGAGCAGTTATTAAAGATCTAATTTTTTATCATAATATCGATTTTCTACCATACCCCCCAAATACTTCTCCAATAAATACCAAGTTCTTTACCCTTTTTTTAGAATTCAAAGCTCAACCAACAATTGAGATTAATCCAGCTATTATTGATCCAATTCTATAGCATGTAAAAAATATAATCTCTGATAGGAATAAAGAGCTTAGTAAATATTTCTGATACTGGTATACATATCTAGTACAACAACTATCTAAAAAACCTAGAACAATTCAAGTATTGTGTTTCTTACCAGGTTGCAGAAAAAATATCTTAATTGATTTTATAGTTAAGAAAGTTCTTAAGTCAAAGCTTTTCTATGCAATATTTGATTTTGAAAAATATTGGGATATTTTAATAGTTGCATTTAGGCTCATAAACTAATTGTTATAAATGAAACAGGTATGTCTAGTGGAGATTGAAATAAGTATAATGATCATCTTAAATTACTTATCACAGAAGATTATTTAACAGTTGAACACAAAGGTATCAAACCAAAAGTCATAAAAGATTATGCTAGATTTATGATATTAAGTAATCATGATGCTGCACTCTGAATAGAAATCAGTAATTAGTGTATCATATATTTTAATATATCTTTCTATTGTAAAAGTAACATGGCATATTTTAAGAATTTGGCCAAAGTACTCAAGCATCCTGATGCACCAAATGTAGTTATGGCTTATTTACTCAGTTTTAATATCTCAAATTGGAATCTACAAGATATTCTTACTACTAAAATAAAAACAGATATAATGTTGGAATATTTACTAAACCTGAAATGATTTATAATCGATGATATTTTATCTTGGCCTAAAAATAGAACTGAGAATTCAATATATTCAAATTTATATCAAAAATATCATATTTGGTATGAAAGAAATAGTGAAAATCCATTTACTAACAAAAAATTTAAAAAACTTTTCCAACAATTGGTATAGAATGCAAGCAACACAAATTAATGGAAAAAGAGACTGGGTCTATATTCTTGATCGATCCAAAATCATGAATAAACTATACAAATCAGGTATCGATATCAAAGAATTTTCTGACATATCTCAAGCTAAGATACCCTCTAATGCATTCACAAATATCCTTGTATTCGATATATCTGAAATTGTTATATCTCCCAAACAGAAAAAAAGATAACAGAACTATTAACTACTGATCATATCAAAAAAAGTAGAAGGAAGCAAAGCTTCAATGTTTCACATTATATATCACTTGCTCTTATTACTAATATGACCCAAGATCTTTTTAATTTTATATCAAATGAAAGTTCAGTTGCTTTATTATCTAAGTCTACTGATATATCTATGACTTCAGAGATCGAACATGTAGAACTATCAGATGATAAATCTAAATCTCTTGAAATCTCTTCTGACTTACTTGTAAGCAATGTTGTAAACAATGAACTAAAAACTAGTAATAAAGTATCTTCTTAGCAGATATCATACCTACTTGGATATCAAATAAGAGAGTAATAAGAAATATGATTAAGGCAAAAAGCTATTAAGCTTGGTGAGAATCCAGATAAGTTTGTTACTATTACTGAAAAAGATAAGCTCAATTCCATAGCATTCTATGATAGAATGCAAACTGATACAAGAATATGTAGTTATGCAAAAAAGGCTGAAGAAGATTCCAATAAATATATAGACATGTTAGTGCAAGAAAGATTTATAAGTAAAGAAATAATCCACTATTCTCTCAAGAAAGATGAAATCAGAACTTTATAGTTCAATACTAATGAGAAATGAAAAAAAACAATTAACAAACTCCAGAAAAATGGTATATTATAGTAATTGCTTAGTCGATAAGAAGTGAATAAGATAAATTTCGCAAGTAGAAGCTTTGATATAGAGAAATTTTTGCTCTTACATATAGGCAATATAAAATTTTTAAATTAAAATATAATGAAAACTCTGTTCTTTATACCAATATACTGGTTTTTGTAATGCCTAAAAATGATATTTGGTTAATTTTTTATTTTTGAATTTAATTTTAAATATGAAAGTGAAAATAGAATAATATAACCATTTTGTGAATCAAAAATGCCTTGTAATTGGTTATTAGTTGGAGATACTAAATTATGTAAAAACTCAGCAAAAGGACAATATTGTGCTATCTATGTATTTAAGATTTGAAATAGTATAATAATTCTACAACCTTGTAAAGGATGTAGTTGAGAAACTAAATCAAGCCTTCAGCTTTGTGTCCCATGTGGCCAAGGTAGAAAAAGAGCATATAAATATTATAAATATTATAAACAAAAAAATAACCAATTAAACTTATCATTTATATAAGTAACAATTAACTATTATCATTTTTATAACTATATACCATATTAATACAATACAAAAATATATATTCAAGAGCCGGAATATAATAAAAAATTCAATAAACCTGAAGAAGTGCTTAATCTCTTCACTAATCATTGGATTAAAAGACAAAGAAAATTATATAATAGATTGTTATGCAAAGGATATAAATATGCCAGAGATTTTATATATTATTTAGAAGATATTCTACCAATTGATTTAGATGAATACAGTACAATTTATCCTCTAGCTGACTTTTATTATCCTGCTCTGATACCACTTCTTTTTATTTTATCTCGAAGAGGAGACATATGTAAAAGATATCTGATTACTATGTCATCTGCTGTAAAAAAAAGAATGTGTCTATTTGCTATAAAAAAATTGAATAAACTGCATTATATAATCTGATTCAGATAGGATACTCTAGATATAACTTATCTCAATTATTAGAAATATGTTGGAATCATAGAGAAACTCAGAAATAGAGAAATGATATACTTGCAAGATTCCTCTATCACTTAAATTTAATTTTATCAAAATATAAACTGAATGCTTTGTATGATGCATTTAGTAAAGCAGATGTTTTAGGTCCAGAACATATACTTGCTATAGTAAGAACATTGCAATAAAAAATAAAAATAAATCATAAATCTTAATATAGCCTAAGTCATTATATAAATTTTTTTTGTTATATCTTATATATTAGTAAATTTCAAATCAATATTTTACTTACTCTATAGGTATATATAAACTCTTTTTTTCTAGATATAGAAGGAAAAAGTATAATTAATTTTGATTTGAAAAAAGAATCCCTATAGTATATATTAGATGAAAATAGTCTATATAAACTATTTCAATTAATATATATGTCAAAGACACTAGCTTCACTATACTAACCATAGCAAAAATCATTACATCATTTGTAAAACACTACAAATTGACTCTATAAACTAGTTTATCACAGCTTAGTAGTTATGTCAAAGAGTTGGCTAATAAACTTTCAAATGGCAAGACTAAAGAGCAGGTTCAAAAAGCCAGAGATCAGGCAAAAAGATGCTTCTAAAAATTGGAATTAAGTAAGAAGCAAGCTAATACTCTTATTCCTATTCAAGTTTCTGAAAAACATGTTGATAAAAGAGATCTTATTAAAATTATTGCCCAAGATATTATAAAAAATAATCTCTTATCTAAAGAAATAAATGGAATAGCATATGACTTGGCTTCTTCTGCTTCCATTACTGTTGCAGAAAATTCTCATTATAATTTATTACAGAAAAAATTACGTAGCTTAGATGCTAATTATCTCATCATTGAGGCAATGAAAATATTCTTTATTACTGAAAAAGCAAATCAAATTCAAACAAGAAAGCATATACTTTGTGAAATTAATAGGTATGATTGTCCTGAGTTCTTTTATCTAAAAAAGGTTCAGGAAAGACTTAGTGAATGTGATACTACCATGTCTTCTTTCATGTAAAATCTAATAGACATAATTATAATGCTATGTATGTGATCAGCAGATGTGAAAAATCTTCATATCAACTAATACAAACCAAGTTGCAAGTCATGATATAATTCTGACTATTCTTGGTACTGTATTGGTTATGCAAAAAATAAAGATAAGGTAGAAGAACTCTGGCTATTCCTTTTAATGAAAAAAAATCTAATATGAGCAAGAGAATTACTTATCTAGATTCAGAGATCAATACTGGATAAATTTCCCTTCTTGTTAAAAGATAAGAATGAGAATACTAATATTGCACCTCTTAATCAATTCTTAAGTTGTTATAGAATTACCTTATATATACTAAGAAAAATAGGTGCTGATTATGCTTTCAGAGTATATAGAGGTAGGAATGATTCCTGCCATCAATATTTACAACAATTGGCATATAGACATAAAATAGGTCATGCTTTATCAGTTGAATATTATAGTATAATGAATGACAGACCAAATACTCTAGTATCTAAACAAAAAAATAATAAGGTTGAGAATAATATCAATTTATACAGAGAAATTTTTGACAATGAGAACTAATTATGTTTCTTTGCTTTTACCATATTTATAGCAAAATCTTTATTATTAGACTATTCATAATTAGACTCAAATAAAGATAAGAATGAAGACTCAGATGTAATATCATTATTGTAAAGCAATGGGGCTTTGTCTCTTAATATTTTCTTTTTTCTTTTAGACTTGCATAGTGTATGATTTCTTCAAGAAATATCAGGGTTTGCTATTATGTTTATAATATCTTGCTAAATCTTGGGTTTCACTATCTTTATTAATTGACAAAAAAAAAATAAATAATATATAAGGAATTTATATATCAGAAATTATTAACTTATAATATATTTGTCTAAAATTAATTATCTAAATTAATTATTTTTTCAGTTATAATATATATTATTAAATAGCTACTGTGTAGTTGCTTCCAGCAAAATTTGATATAGTTTTCATAAAAACAATTATAGAGGAAAAAATCTCAGTAAAAGCATTAATTGATACAACATCTAAATCCAATATTATTTCAAGTGCTTGTATAATAAGCTTGACTAAGATTATGGATTAGAAGATATATCTGATGATGATTTGATAGACAAAGAAATAAAATACTTAGATTTGCAATTTTAGTATAAAGGAAAATGGTAAAGCTTAGATGGTACTGAAGTAATAGATTTTCAAATTCACAAAAATCCATCATTTGATTTGGTGCTAGAATAGAATTGGTTATAGATGTGCAAAATAAAAATTAGTTTTGAATATCCTCCTAAAACTTATACTCATTTTGCTAGGATTGTAATAGATAATATGAATATCCTATTAATCGAAGAAAATAGTAATAAAGCCAGCTCTAGTAAAAATAACTTATCTGATTCTGAAACAAAAATCGATAAACCTGATCTAAATTTAGAGAAGTTTATAGATATATTTAAAAAATTATCTATAAAGACTAATTTATTCAGTTCTGATTCAGAATCTATAGGTTTAGACTGGTACAATCTTGATCTAAAAAAAACTTAAAAGAAATGCATTCATATTACAAAGAAAAAGATTATCTCTCTTAGCCAAAAACATCATAGAAATTAGCTAATTAGAACAAAATAATCTTTAATCCAGAAAATTATTATAGGTAGAATCAACATAGAAGTATTTTAGAGAAATGACATATTACTGCACTATGTTACTGCATCCTAGTGACATGGTGTTCTGTTTTGGCAACTAAAAAAAATAAACACTACACTGCATTACTATAGAAAGTGAATTGATCATTGAATAAATAAACCTGTCTACATCTGGCCCACTTCTATACCACTTACAAAAAATATTTGGGAGAGTAGAGGATTAAGAGTGAAAAGTGAAACCTTCTGTCAATATTTTATAAAAAGATTATGTAGAAGGCTTCACTTTCAGATACTCACCCAGATAGCTCTTGAAATCACAATTGAACAATATTTCTATTTTCATTTAGGTAATAAATTGGTAATTTGCAAATTACTCATAATCAAAGTAGATTGAATGTTTCCTATTTATATTAAATAATTTGTATATGAACAGATCATCAAACCTGAAATTAGTTTTCATAAAATCTGCAAAATAAGTTTGTTAGTCTCTAAAGAGTTTAATGTATAAAAATAAGCTAAGTATAAAAAAAATTACAAATACTTATCTGTCTATAATATATACTAATTCTTTTAATCTTGCAAAACTTTATCTTTGAATATGTCTATTAATCCAAACTCCTAAAATATTTCATGTCTCAAAACTCTTACATTGAATATTCTTAAGAATGATTCTCTAAATATTATTGTAAAAGACATTGAAGTTCCAGAACTAGATTCATGTTTATTATACAACCAAGAACTTTTTTTATATGAAATAAAAAAACCAATTATTTTACTTACTTGTGACCACTTATATCATCATAATTGTATTGAAAGTTTTATTAAAATTAGTTCAAAATGCCTAAAACCTGGTTGTATAAAGGTGATAGAATCTATAGTCAAAATACCTAAAAGTCAAGATATCGATTTAATAGAAAGTCACCTACTATATTTAAAAACTCTCTGTTTACTCAGAGTAATACATTAAAAAAACATACTAATAATTCCAAATTATTTCTAGATAAACCATCTAACAAAAAAGCAAAACAAATAAAAAAATAATCATTTATATTAAAGAAACTTATAGAAGAATTATCTACCAAACCAAGTAATCTGCAAGTTCTTGTAACTAAAAAAGAAAATACAAATAATTTTGTTAATTTGTACAATAATATAACTTATACAGAAACTGAAAATGAAATTATAAATCAGAAAGTTATAACTAGCTATTATTTTTTTGGTAAAACTCTATCAGAATGACTTGAGTATCACAAGAAATCTAATCCTCCATATGCTTCTTTGTTGTTAGTTAATGAAGAAGTTAAAGAACAAATTCCCAATATTACAGATACTACATTGTAGAAAAAAATAGAAAGATCACAAAAAATTTATAAGCTTTTTCTTAATATTGAAGAGGATAAGATTCAAAAAGTTAGATCTTTCAGTGCATTAACTATTTCAAAATTAAGAAAAAAGAATATTGATAATATTATACTTACCATTCTGAAACAAAAAAACTAATCTACTACACCAATCACGTGAGATTACATGTTCTGACCCAGTAGTCAGGATTGATATTGATATGTAGTAATAGTATTAATACTTCATATACTTATATAAAATTAATAAAATTTTTATTTATCATCATTATTCAATTTTTAAATGTGTTCATGAAATAAATTATCTTTATGGGGATTATAATTTTTTGTAAGATGGAGCAGGTTTGTATAATAAAAAATTTTTTAATCACCTATAATTATTTTTCTATTAATACAACAATGATAAAAAATTATAACAATACATATACAAATAAAAAAAGACAAAATCACTTTGAAAAGTGGCATATTTTTAGAAGGTGGAATTACGGATGTAAGGTTTGTGACGAATGCGATCACCATTCACATCTATATTGTAAGACATGCAAAAAAGTAGCAGAGAGAATATATAAGCGATGTGAATGTGATAATTCTCGAATAATTAACGTTAAAATCTGAGTTAGTGATAATGATACCTAATTTAATTAAGCAAAACTTATCATTATCACAATTTGTCCACGTTCATTAGCGTAATAATTCTGCATATAAAATTTATCTGTATCACCTTCGTTATGCATAACTTATTTGTGAGACGGGGCACAATCTCAAAGTGCCATTTTTCATTTTTCGATCGGGGCGCCCCGATTGAAATTAATACCTAACCAAAGTTAGTCAATTAACTCATGCCCACATATATTTTTGAACCTTATCTGGTCTAAATGCACACAATGTATGCATGTACTACGGAGTGACAAGTCCCTTAATAAGGATTTTGACCTTACATGGCTCTATAACTCGTGATGCATATATTTGCACAATTTGTAGAATTCTTTTGCAGTTTCAGAGAAGAGGTGAAAGAAAAACATATAAAAAGACAGTATTTCGAGTTTATTGTTATTTTGTCACTTTATTAGTGATTTTATTTCTTGCATTATTTGACTTATATTAACAAAAACTATGTCCAACGACGCATATCCTAAACTTTACAATTTTTTATTAACTGTCGAAGAAGAAAAAATTACTGCTGGATCAGTCATTTATCAAGCTATATTATTTTTCAAGAGATATAAAGTTGGTTCAGATGATGAATAAGTAGATAGTGGTACAATTCTGAGGAAACAAGCATAGCAGTTTAACATCCCATAGTCCGCCTACAGGAAATTTCCTCAACTGCGTGAGGGATGCTTAAGCTGTAGGTTGACCTATGCTTTGTTCTATGTTGTTATTTAGTACCACGCATTGTCTTATCTGTGTGGTGGCTGCACATAGATAGGCTTTGTTTATATTCTGAAACTGCATGTGTTTTGTGGGGATTCATTTTTAATATCAATATAAACTGATTAAATCTATTTTTGCGTTAGTTCGAAATTTCTTACAAAACCATATGTAGTTTACATAACATTAAAGTAGTGAAGATAAGCAAAAAGATGCCTCTTGATTTGAATCAAATAGTTGATAATATAAAAAAGTTAAAGGGGAAGCTCAAACAAAATAAAAAATCGTCGCTATGTCAGGAATTATTTTCAAGTTTGAGAAACGTGGATATTTCAGCACTGACATGAAAGGATTTTTTAGCCAATCAGATCATCAGCGACGATTCAATACTACTACAACAGCTAATGCCTCAATCACAAGAAAATTTTATGAAACTAAAACGTAAAATGTCTCCCTCACCTCTTCCACCAAAAATACGAAGAAAGTGCAATGAGTTTGTAGTAGCTTTTAATGAGAATCATCAAGTCGAGTTAATGCAAAGAATTAAACATGATGGGACTTGGAAGGAATCAGAAAAACAGCTTGCGAAAGTTACAGATAGAATTTTAGATACGTTGTAAGTATTATTTGTGAAATTTTGGCATATATATATTTGTTAGCTTACAATTTCTCTATTGGCATTAGGAGAGATACTTGGAATAATCCAGCGTTTAGGCCCGAGTTCGCAGGGTTTCTAAGCGAAGGCACTTATGTAAATAATATCATACTACCACTATACGAGCTGTATTGAAGGGCCTTTCTCTAGAAAAATCGAATTTTGTCAGCAGTTCTGAACTTCAAAGTAGCACGAGCGCAGATAGGAAGGGTGAGGGGTGATCAGGGAGAAGACCAGATATAATGTTTATTACGATGCGTGATGAAAAGAATTATGAATTGCTGTATGCTGAGTGTTCACGATTGACCTGTACGGCGCAAAAGGAACGACATGATTAGAGATAGGTTTTATGTGTGCGCATGATTGTGGAAACATATGCATTAATGTGCATTCATGCGCATGATTCTGTTTTATGCGCATTTTATCCCATCAAGATTTCTCTCCTCTCGATCGTTTTTTCTTTTTTTTTGCCTTTTTTTATCATGCGATATTATGTGCATGAAACATTTCGTGCATATTAATGCGCATTCATGCGCATGTTATTATAAAATGCGCATTTTTCCCATCACTAGACATGATGTAGTAAAATTGTGGAGAGAGTGTAATGACAGGATATACTGGGCTCGTAAAAGTTCTAGACCCAATAAGGATGAATTTGGAATTATTGGCGTACAAATAGCGGGAACTATGATATGTGTTCTTATTAGAGATAGTGCAGACGTTCATCGTTATTACCACTTACGTGAGGCGGAAATACCAATTCGACAGTCAAATCCTATTATTGTTGCAAATTTTATAGAAGTCCTATTAATATTACGAAATATTTTAATAGTTAATATAGACTTGCTATATAATGCATTAATACCTAGGATGCTCAGAAAAGTGGAAGATAGTTCTACGGTATCTTCTTCATGTAGAGAAGGGGAACAAAAAAGAACAAGAAAGGTAAGTGATAAAAATCCTTGTTTGCGTAAAGGCAGGAGTTTAAAGAAGAAAAAAAGTGCAAGGTTTTAGAATATATATCCTGTCCTGCATTTTGATTTTTTGTTGTTTCAATAAAGCTGACCTGGTATGATTTCGCATACATAATCTGTTTACTTTTGCATGTGTATTTCGTGAATTTATTTTATTGTATTATTATCGATATATATTAACTTGTATATGATTGAGAATTTTTAAAATTTTTTCTGGCATTTTTTGATGGAACATTGTTCTGTGAAATTTCATCACATGACTTCTGGTTTGGTTCTCTTGAAAAGATATCTTATAAAAATAATTGAAATTAAAAAGCATTAGAATAACAAACTATTTTTCAGCACTTTGTGCAGACACAGCCAAGACATGGTTAATAAAAATCTTTTTCCAAGCATTTGTGATAAAGTTATATAATATAATATTAAATATGCGAATACAGGAAGAAAAGACTAAAGACTTATCTGAAACTATTTCATTACAAGAATTAAATTCAAAGCTTATTGTCATAATTGCAGAACTTAGAAGGAAGAATTCTGAAATCAAGACTGAGAATGTCGAACTTAAAGCTAAGAATGTAAAAGTTAAAACAGAATAAAAAATTAAAACAAACTTTAGAAGAACATGGTGTCAGATTTATGAATCTAGAACAGAAAGATAAAGAAAAAACCAATTTTATTGTTAAACTTAAGGAGAACAATAAAGAAAAAACTGATCTTATAGTTAAATTGAAATATGATGTTTCACTAATCAAAGAACAAGACAAGAGTATGGTGTGCAATCAAATCATTTCTAATGTTTTGCAAGATGTAGAACCTGGAATCTCTGATTCATATTCTGTAAATTCTAATGATGTTCCTGAAGATATAAATTTACTATATAATGATAATGATATAACTAATATTGCTTCAAATTCTGATGAACATCAAGAAGAAACTTCATTTTGAGTCTCCAATTTATCTTTGATTACATTAGCCATATGCATAAAGTCTAAATTATTAGAAGGTAAGGAAATAGATAATTTTCTGATTGAAAAACATAATGAACAGATTTATAACGAAATAAGCTTCAATATAGGTCACCTACTGAAAGTTCTCTAAAAGAGGACACTTATATATCTAATATTAAATCTAGTATTCCTCTCAAGCAGAAAAAGGAGCAAGATTTAATACAAGAGATTTCAACATCTATTAAAAATCAGAATGATATAACTAGAATTTTATAGAACAATATTCATCAAAATCATATGACTGAAGTCACTTTAGACCAAGATATCATTTGTTTATACCAAAATGCATGTGATGCAGAAAAAGATGCTATCAAAGCCAATTAAGAAGAAATATTATGCTGGTGTTTCTATACTAAAAAGTTTAAAGGTTTGGTTAAAGATTTTATGGTTAATGGTAGAGTTAGAGAGAAAAAAGCAAAAGGACAAATATACGATTTTATTATTCAACATCTTCCTAATACAAAGCGTAAAAACTTATACAAGCAAACACAAAAAGCATTAAGAGTTTATAACTTATTTGAGAAAATAGGAATGAATAAGTTTTAGTATACCAAATCTTATACTGCAGATAATATTTTAAGATTTACTAATTTACAGATTCAAACGATTATTGATTATTTCACTAAAAACCTTACAATAGAATTTACCGATAATTCTTTTGATAACTTACTTGAAACTGAGATTAATAAGGAAGTTGAAAAAATTTCATCAGAAACAAAGGTAAGTATTACAACCACCCCCTTTATCCTGTTGTCTCATATATATAATTTGGAAGTTATAATAAATGAGGATGTCAAATCTTTGCCAAAAACTGAAGTAAGCATATCTGCTAAATCGATTTTAAAAGAACCAGAAACTGTAAATGTATTCAATAAGTTTAATGAAAATGATGATGAATTCTCTGATGATAATGATGATAAATTCTTTGATAATAATGATGATGGAGATTATTGCAGGTTTTCTGATAAAGATAAATTAGGTTATTACTATAATTTAAGTAATAAAAAAAAAACTTATAAGAATTCTGATTATTTAATCAGTACATATTAAAAATTTAAATTAATGAAGTTAACTTAATAGTTACCACTAATTAATAATCACAAATTGCATTGCAAAAATCATATAAAAATAAAACATGGGAAGGTTACAGGACCTCCCTTCTTTATTTAATAAAATTTTTTTTGCCAGATGGAAACATACAAATAAAATAATACAAATACAAATAAAAAATCAAAAGCCATAGTAACTACAAGGTTTTATTATTTTTGAAAATGTTATAGGATTGATACCTGGATAATTACATAGAATTTGATAATCAAGAATTATGCCCACACTAAATAGCTTTTTTTGATCGCTTTCTGAATTGAAGTCATTAGTTTTAGGTGCATTACTATTATTGGTCTTGGGGGTATTGTTAGTCTTGGCAGTGGTACTATTACTTATTTTTTGTATCTGAATACAAGTAAAATTATGGTAAGTAAAAATTCATCTTTATAGATTCCATTAAATGAAATAGCAAAGTTACTTTAAAAATAAATTACAGACAGATAAATCAAGTAAAAATATATATGAGCAAAAATAACATTATTGCTAACTTATCTTAAGATGGAAACTCACTTATTTTTATACCATTTAGTTTACTAGATCTAAAAAATAAAATACATTAGTAATTACATTACCCAAATCCAACATCAGTTTTTTCTCTATAAAGCAACTCCGCTCAGTTATAGGTTCTGTATACTAAAACTATTTTGTTATTTTTTCTGGTAAAATTAACTCTCCCTTAAATTTGATGATCTCTTTTGTGAAGTAAAAAAGGCAACGATCTCAACAATCTGAAAATGCCAAGTTCCTGTGATATATGAATTTTGATAAAACTACTAATAAAGAACATTATACTCATTGCCCTTATAGCCTTTTTAGACACAAAGTGTTCTGCTTTGCAGAGTTCCATTCTTATCATAGGATCGTATAAAATAAGAAAAAGGGTTTAGGTATTATTCATAAAATTTATTAAAAATTGACTATAAGAAATAATACTGCAGAGTGACACCACATATCTAATTTTGTGTGACCTGTATTACCATAATAAAAATCAGCAAAAATTTTAATATGTATTGCTATTTCAGACCAAATATAGTATAAATATTTGTAAATAAAGTCTGTGAATATTATTTAACATGTAATCAGGAAATATACATATATGTATATAGTTGTGTCTCATGGAATGAGGATGCTTTGCATCTAAAAATAATGTGTATTTTATGTTTACAGGAAGTCACTTATTCTTAGAATATCTAAGCCTTATTCTAAATTTTATATATCTTCGATAACAATAAATCACATGTTGATTGAATATCCAACTTCTAATATAACATTGAAATTTTATTTTTAATAAAATAGTTATACTAACTGTCCCCTGAAAACATACTATTGTCTAGAAAAGGATATTTATAACCAATACCAAATATAACAGGCCACATAATAATAACCAACTTAAAACATTCTTTGTGCTCTATATACATAAGGCTCAACTAAGTATATATATAAAATTTTTTTTTTATTTTCTATCTAAAATTTTTAACTGATATTACATTATACTTTCCTACACTAAATAATTTTTGTGTTGATAAAACAGTTGCTGGAACTATTTATGTAGGTATGCTTAGTCAAGCAAAAAATTTTATCTCTAATATTGAGTGATAGGGCCTCTAACTATGTGTATTGTGAGATTGAACATTCTTATAATTACTATTTAGTAGCCCAATACTTTGATAAAAGTGCTTATTTGTTCTGCAAAAAATATGCAATCTATTTATTTTTTATAAAATAGTCTTTTCAGATATAGTTATAGCCTTTCGAGGCAGACCTAGGATCCAACTATTACCTCTCTGCAATTTATTTTTTTCTATGCTTATAAAAACCTAATTTTAGAAAGTATGATCATTAGTTATAATTGTCTTCATAGCAAGAAGAGGAAGCCCTGATGAGCTTCCTGTGGTTTAGTCCACTGAGTTACAAGATAAGAAATAGCTTTAAATATATCTATCTCGAAATTTACATAAGTACATAACATGTTGCTATATTATCATTTATGATTTAATCCAAAAATTTTATGATATGCTAGATAAATTGGATAAGTAATATATTTTTATTTTCTTGCACAAGATTATATTGCATTATAAATCAATTACTCAGGTTACTTGTTACAGGTATATATAGTTATGCAAAAAATTTTGCTTGAGTCTTTACCTCTTGACAATAGGGCCTCTGATTATGTGTATTGTGTATTTAAAAGGGCATAATCATTATTACTGATGGCTCAGTACTTTGACTTAGGTGGTTCATTCAGTTTATAAAAATAATTAATTAGGTAATTCAATTGGACTGCATAAAATATAATTTTAATCTTATTTCTTAATGTTTTATATGAGATACAATTTGAATATGAGAATAGTACAAGTAAAATTTTTTGCACTCTTCAGGTCTACAATTCTTGCTACAACTCAATATGCATCTTTTCTATTCTCATTTATATATTACTCACAAAATATGCCAAATATACACAACTCATCTAATAACCCAATTTGTACTAAAAATGAATCTGGTTTTAATTATATATATTATACCAAATCTAATAGGTCAAAAACACTAAAACTGCTAAATATATAAGTGATAATATGTCTGGTTTTGATACTGTCACTATTATTAATAAAAAAGATAAAACACTTCCTAAACCGTATATTAATTATCCTGGTTTTGATATGAAGTATGCTGTATCATATATATCATATTATGATAGAACTTATGCTAATAAACTCAATCAAATTTTCAATAATAAGAAATTATTTGACACTTTATATACTATAAAACAGAATGAAACATCTGTTCAATAAGCAATACAAGTAAAAATTTCATTACAAGATTTGTTAAATTCAGGAAATTTAGTATATATCATTGATATTGTTTATTTATGTTATATGGTAAAGGTAAATTTGTTAATTTTAATTATTACAGACCAAGTATTTATAAAATTCATATGGCTATTTGTTTTGGTTGCTGGAAACTTATAAAAATTGATGATATACAACCTAAAAAATCATTTCATTTTACTAGACGAAGATATGTTGATCATCTTGTATCTAGTGATTTAATGACCAGTCATTGGGATAATAATTGTGATAAACCAAAAACTGATTTCAGAAAAGCAAGAATTATATAAACTGCTTATCGAAATTATAAGAAAAAGCCTGAATTAGAATCTAATAGAATCTGGGAAGCAGTTAGAAAGGACAATACTTCTGAGAACAAGAAGTTTTTAGGTATAACTTCTTAAAAAATAAGACTTTCTGAAACTTCTTATGTTAGATATAATGGAAGAATGATTCTAGCTAAAAATGTACCAACATATGCTCAAAATTTATCTAAAAGGTTTTATCATTATAGTCCTAAAAGTTGAGCAGATGCTAAGAAATATTAATTACAAAAAAAATTATATAACTATGTTGTAAATTTATTAGAACAACAAGGATACAGAGTAATCAATAGTAAGAAATGATATGTAATGTTAAAATGGATACAAAATTCTGAATTATATATTGATAATAAATACCCACTATTTATTATAATTAAATAAATTATTCTAGACAGTTTATAGAGAAATGCATCAAATTATCAATCTATAGCTTTGCAATATATATATCTATATATTCATATATATCTTTGAAAATAAATTTTATTTCATTATCTTTTCTAAAGAAAAGCTAGTAATATTTTTTACTTTGATTTTTATATACAGTTATTTTACATGACACAAAAATTTCTCTTGGTACAAATAGAATTTATTTATTTTTCAACATCTACTTCAACCTCAATCAGGCTGGATACTGATAGCTATTTCATTGGAGAATAGTAGTGAATAAGATACTAAAAACATCTATCTCAATTTAAATACTAGGTAGGCTGGATATATGCATCTTCTCAATTATATAAGAAATGGCAAGTAGGATGTATTTATATTAATAAAATAAAATTACAACTGAAAAATATTTGATTATCAAACTAACCATATAATATGATTTTATCTCAGCCTATATAAATCATGAAACCCAATCTAATATTAGCTCTAGTGTCAGTTTTTTGCTTAATAGAAAGTAAATTGATTTATTAGAAATAAACAGACATTTTTTTGCATTAAAAACTAGTAAATTAGAACAGTAGTATGCAATTTCATATATTGTTTTATCAGTGATATAAATATATTAAAAACTAAGATTCTGAATGTCTAAACATGAATAAACTATATTACATACAGCATCATCCGTAATTTTATAACATGAAATAAGACTAATATTTTGTAGATTTTTATTTAAATCTGCAATTTTTTTGATTGATTTGTCAGTAATCCATTCATAGCCTTCGAGAAAATAATTCATATATCTGAACAGTTAGTTGCAATCATGCATATGGCTTTATCTGTAATTATTTCATTGAATGATAAATTCTGATGTTGAAAATTTACACATAAGCATGCAATTGCACAAATTGATTCATTATTAATAGAAGGTTGTCTATTGAAATTTAAATATACTAGATTGGAACAAGATTGTGCTATTTTAATCACAGATGCACTAGAAATATTACTATCTTTATACAAAGAAATGAGACTTATGTATTTTAAATTTAGACAAGATTGTGCTATTTTACTAATACATCTATCAGTAATAGCTGTATATGCATCAAGACTTAGATGTAGTAGCTTCAGACCATATTTTGCAATTTCTATAATTTGTATATTACTAAAACCATAACTTCGATCAAGGATAAGAAAGTTAATATCTAAATATAAATGCAGAATTGCACTGAGTAATTTATCTGAAATTTTTAAACCTACCAATTTGAGATATACCATCTTTAAGCAATATAAAGGTTTTGTCTTTTTGCATATAACTCTTTTAAACTTTCTTAATTGCCAATAAAGAGGTCTAGACATATCTTTACTATACCGATTCTGCTAATAACCTTCTATAGAAAACTTAATATGTTTTTATAGAATCGAGGCACTGCAGTAATACCAAAGTCTATTGACAAATAATGCTGTATAGAATGCTTTATTCTTAGCCAAGAAACTGAATATATTTTCAAGTAACTTTAAAAGTATAAGAGGATGACTTATATTTGGTTCTTTATATAAGCACAGATAGTACAAAAGATTAAAAATTTATTGCATCTCTGAAATCTCGATCTGGTTAGGTAGAATGTTTATTATCTTTTAATTTCTCGATCTTCTTTTCTAAATCAAGAGGGGTGTCTTATCAAAGTAAGAAAGACTTAAATCTAGATTTATTCAGATCTATAACTATAAATTCTTTTTGCCTCAAATATCTGTCAATAATTTTTGAAGCTTTTCACAGATCTACATTAGTGTAAGAACTTATAATATTTGCAAGTTTTCGAATAAAGCCCCCACCATTAAAGAGAACAATGTGAGTAGCATTTTTGCAAATATTTATTGGAATTTTGTGAAATTTCTAAGCAACATAAATTGAGAAAATATTCTCATGATAACCTCAAGTAAAAAATAGAACAATTTTTTTTTGTATAGTTGTAGGATCAAAGTAAAGATCTTCAAATATCACTAATGTACTTCTTTTAGTATTAAACTTTTTGGGATCAGAAATTTTATCAGAAGATAGTGAAGAAAATGTAACATCTTCATAATAGGGCTTTGATTTATTTTGGGCAAGATATTTATAAAAATCTTAAACTATTTTATATTTTAGCTCATTTAAATAATGTCCAAAAAAAATACATTATCACATTTAACATTGTATTCTCCTATCTTAGAATGCTTTTTCTTCTTAATCATGTAATAAAATTTGGGCATTGTTAGCAAGTTTACATATTGGTCTTACCTAAATTGCTAGCCTTTGCCATCATGATACAAAAAGGCCATGCTGGTGCATCTTTATCTTTCTGGTATTTTTTCAAAGATTTTATCTCATCTATGGCAAATACACAATATAACATCTTTTTGTTATAAATATATATTATGTTTTTTTTATTCTGACGAATAATCTGATTTTGACATGCTATTTATATTTATATTTTGTAGATAACCTTTCTTTTGCAATTTGTGTTTTATATATAGGAATAAATCAGCACCATACAGTATTTCAATAAGATCTATATCTCACTTTTTGCATATTTCTCACTTTTTTTAGTCATATTTTCTTTGATTTTCTAAATCATCTTAATTTTTGTAATATAAACTATTGTGATGGTAGTGTTGAACTCTCTGAAATTCATATGCCAATTTTAGCTCTTCATTATATTTGTCTAATTGTATTCTATTCAAAAATGATGGTTTACAAGATGGAAATTTCTTATCTAACAGATCTTTGAAAATATATCTACAGTGACACTCATCAGTATGATGAAAGCAAAGTGAGCATCATTTAAATTTTATAGCTATTAATAGATATGGATATTCCTACTGATGCTTTCTATTTTCACAGAACCAGAGATATACATCAAAATTATTTATTTGGCCAATTTTACCAAGACATTTTCTGTTATGCTTCTTAGCATATGCAACAGCTTTAGCTATTTTATTAATAATATGAATAAAATTAACAGACCTAAAACAAGTGTTTTCCTCCAATATGCTCTGAAGTGAATACTGAAGTTTTTTAAGATCAATTAGCATTAATTCTTTATATACAAACCCACATATTGGTATGAATTTTCTATCTAAATAATATAAAATTGGTTTATTTTTTATTATTACAATTTTGTAGATTTTATGTAAAGAAGGGCTTCAAATTTTATCTGTTGCATGTCTTTGATTTTCTATACCTTCTTTCTATTCTGCATTAATGAGAAAGAAATGAACAGTATCTTCTTTTTTTAATTTTTCTTCATTTTTACCAACTGAACATTTGTATTTTGTAAATAGTCTAGACTCTACTCTATTTAATCTAATTGTCTTTATAGGTGATAATCTCATTTCTTTGATCCTAGCACTCATATAAGTTATGTTGGATAATTATTCAGATATTTAAGAACATTTGATAAATGTTTAACCCATGCTCTTATTAATTTAGAATTTTCAGATATAGTTTTAATAGTGGATTGAACCTTGTATAGCATCTCTGCTAATGTCTTACAAAATCTGTCTATGTTTGCAAGACCTCAATGAGAATATAGGCCTATAACTCAGATTATAACATTATGTGCCTTCATTATTTTTGAAGTCTCATCCATCTATTCACATCTGTTATTGTATTGTAATAAATCAGATCAGATAAGAGGAATGTTTGAATTATTATATATTTTCTTAAATGCTTTGGTAACTTCTAAACTGTTTTTTGATATTAATAGAACAGCTTATTTAAAATGAGATGCAACATCTATAACAGTAAGTATCCATTTGTATTTCTTTTTATTGACAGTATTATTTATAAAATGTAACAAATTACACATATGTATACAGTTTGAATATGAAATTTTTCTATAACTAACCCATAGAGTATCTTTTGGTAATGAAGTATATTTTTGTCATTCATACTAGTTTGTAAGTCACTCATATATCTTTTTATATAGAAACTGATATCTCTCTGCTTTAAGGTCTTTCTATAATTTTCAGGAGTTGGAATAATAACCTGTTGGTTGATAGAATAATAATTAGCAAACTAGGGCCAATTCCTTATTAGTACTAATTATAATACTAGGTTAGTTCATTTTCGATAGATTCTACTATATTAATAAATTATTATTTGGTAAAGTTTCCAGAAGCATCGATATATTATAGGCTGTACAATGCCATCAGATACAGTTGTATTTCCACCTAGTAAAACAATTAAAAAATTCGAAGCTAGTTTGCAAATAATAAAAAATCAATTCTGTAAATTATAATGGGATTTAGACTTAAAAGAGAGTTGTATTAAATATCTTGAAAATGAAATTTTGATTCAAGATAGAAAACTGGATCCATTATGACAGAAAATTTCTGATATTAAAGAACAATTGGAAAAAATACTTTGAGATTCTGAAAGCCAAGAGAATTATATAAACTATTTGAAAAAGCAGTTAGTAATTTTTTAAGATAAAATAGACAAGCTTAATAAAAAAATAAAAATACTAATTTTATATAAAAATAGCAATAATAATATAGATATGGCTCAACAACCAGAATTGCTCAGATTATTTTTATCAAAAAATCAAGCTACAATTTAGAATCATAAAATTTAGCAAGAGGTTAATAATATTAGACAGTATTTTCAAAACCCAACTACAATAACATCTACATTAAATAATATTATAAATTATCTTAACATATTCTCTGATGCTGGTAATAGGCTTAAACAATTGGTACTAGAAATATACCCACAGGCAAATGCTCATACAATTAATGCTAAAAACCATGTAGCAGATTTGCAAACCTAGCTAACAAATTTGCAAACCTAGATAGCTAATTCACAAACCCAAATAGCTGATTCACAAATCCAGTTAGCCATGCTTTAAAATGATTATGATCTTCTTTATCAAGCTTATAGAGTCTACAAACTTAATTATCACTTATTAAAAGCAACTTGTATAGAAAAAAATAAGCATATATCAAAGCTACTTCAAGAAAAATTTGTATCATGTCTTTTAAATAGACAATTTCAAATTCAAGCCTAGCAAAACAGCCAGCAACTACAAGATTGTAAGATAGATGGGACAATTACTACACATCTCTTAAATCTTACAACAAATTGATACAATAAGTAGAAAAATAAATGCAAGACTCTAGAAAATGATCTATTACTTGCTAATGTTCAACTAAACAACAAGTAAGATAAGTGGAAAACTTGGGCATGAAATTCTAAGCAATTAATTTTGAATTTAAATTAACAAATTTTTATGCTACAGAATAATTTACCTATAAATATACAAGCAAATATAGCATTACAACCACTACTACTACTAAATTTTTTAGGTGAATATGATGCGAATATTGATATTTTTATTAGTCAATTATTGTTATATTTAGCTGGCACTGGTATAAACCTAGTTGCCAATCAGAATCAAGCATTTGGTATTCTTAGAGGGTGTCTATATAGGCAAGCATTAAAATGGTTTGATCAAAAAATTCTTGATAAATAATAGGAACCTCACAATATTTTTGCAAATCATAGCCAAGCTGGTATAAGTGCTCTTCAAAAATACATTATAGCATAAATGAATATTAGTAATAGCTTTAGAAATCCTTTAATTGCCCATGACTATGCAAATACTGCTGATAATAATGCAGTAACTGTAGGTGTTTTCATGATTCTAGCTGAAGCTTTTACTAAAGATTGGCACTTAGCTAGTGGATGTTAATTGGCTAGACCTGCCAATGATATTAATGCAAGTAATACTAATCTTATAGTATTTGGTAACATTTAGATTAGTCAAGCATTATATTGGCTCGGAAATGAATATCCTACAGTAATAAGTGAAAAGTGCAATTTAGTTTATAGATCATTAGCTTAAGAAAGTGAACCTATAGAAGACTTTTACTTAAAACTTTTAAAATATAGAAAAATGCTTAATCTTGATGAGCAACAGATTAAGGAACAATTCCTAAGAGATTTGTCTTTAGACTTGGAGAATGATGTGGAATGCATTGGTACTGAGCAACTATTAGCTGATCTTTTTGAAATTTTAGAGCAAATTAAAATGCAAAGAGCAGAGAAAAAATTAGAATTAGTTAGTAAAATACCCTAGTCTAGTTATAAATTGTCATTTAAATTAATAACACCTACACAATTCTAATCTATTTCTTTACAATCAGCTTCTTAGCAAATACAGCCATCACAATCATTGCAGACACCTCAACCTTATTATGGACCACAACCTCTTGGCACATATCAAAAATGCAAGATATATTAATAGATAGATTTGTACAATAGATTTCTGAGAAGGTTTCAGAATTTGTTCCTATCTTCAAGTCTGATTTGCCTTCAAAACCAGTAATAAAGAAAGTTGAAGTTGACTCTGATAATAAATTGGCCAATCTTATGAAGAAGCAGTTGAAGTTGCATGTAGCTAAAGCTGTTAAAAAAGCTATGAAAGCACAATACTGTTGCTTAAACTGTAATAGGACTGGGCATAATTCTCATAAGTGTTATTAGAAAAAGAAAAGTAGATCCAAAAATAAAAAAAGTAATGTTCATAAGGTTACTGTAGATTTGAGCTCTAAGTCAGATTCAGATACTAACTCTTCTGATAATAATTTTGATTCTGGCTCTGAAGAATCCTCAGCTAAATCTGAATCTAAAAGTAACATTAAGATTCATATTAGTGAGGTAAAAAAAAGTAAAATATAAGAGCAACTTTACAAAATTGCCATCTAAAAAAGAAATCAAAGCAACCCAAAATCAAAAAAGAAAAAGCAAAACTTTGAGCTAGAAACCTATTCAAGCTTTGTAAAAGAGACCAAAAAGAAACTTCCAATTCTGATAAATCATAAAATAAATCCACTATTATTGATAAATCTCTTCAGAAAGTTGTACTAAATATGCTTGACAGCATTGCATCTATAGATTGGATAGAAAAACTCAAAGCTAAAATTGGTACTAATATGTTAGCTCATGTTAAAAGTTTATTTACTTCAGCTTTATCTATTCAAAAAACTAATTTTAGTGAAACTGGCTCTGTTAAAAATTATAAAAAACCAGCTCCAGAAATACCTAATTCAGATGATAAGTTTATTGATGACCTCATAAAAATAGATTTTGTTTAGAGAAAAGATCTGGCTACAATTGTTGTAACTACAAAATACAAGATCAAGTGACTAGTAATTCCAGCAGCTACTGTAGATCCTAGTGCTAATTTTGCAATTATGTCTGAAGATATAGCCAAATAATTAAAGTTGGTAATTGATACAAAAGATAAACATAACCTTAGAGGTATTGCTACTATTCTTACTGAATCTCTTAGAACCACCTGAAATGTACCAATGGACTTTACTTTCAGTTGTATTATATACTCTGATTTTGTAGTAGTTAAATATTCCAAGCTAATATTGATTTTATCTAATATGTTACTTAACAAATATAACTACAATTTACTTGCATCAAGATGGGAATTAAACTTGTATACAATAATAAGGAGTTTTTTATCCCAATAAATATGTACAAAGTTGAGAATAATTTTAAAGTGAACTGTGCAACTGTATCTCAGAATAATATGTCTCTAGTATCTGATCAAATTTCACAGGAAAAATGGCATGCTCACACAGATTTTAATATAGATTCTGATGATTTGCTTTTAAAAAAAAACATATAAGCTATGAGGAGTTAGAAAAATTACTATATGAGATACTCAAATTCAATACTAAATTAATCAAGCTTAATAAAAAACTACAAGCTTATACCAAATCTGATATTGAAATGGTATGTAGGCTCAAAGAGCCATTGCTCTGCAATAAATTGCAAACTACTTTAAAAAAAACAAAAATAGATTAGCTGAAATCTAAAACTTTTTTCATTTTACATTTAGCTTTTTTTCTTTCTTTACAATTTTGTGCAAACTTAACTTGTAAGTTATTTATTTTATCTATTTTTTTATCAGAATATTAGTTATACCAATCTTATTAGCTAAAAAGCTAGCCTCCATATTAGATCCTGATTTTCTTTTCTTTGACTTCTTATCTGAATTATTATTTTCAGACATTATTTTAGAAGAAACAACACTATGTATTAGTTGCTGTTTGCACAAGAGTATTTCTTCAGCATGTCTTTTTCAAATTTCATATATTCTACAAGTTGAAGTACTATATTTATAAGCTATTTCTCTGCATGCATTTTTAACCATCCCTCAAGATTGAATGATTTCTTCAATAGCTTCTGATAATAAATAAGGAGTACCAACATGATAATATTTTACAGTTATGTGTTCTATCCTTTTTATAATTATAAAAAATTATCAAAAATTATTGAAAATGCTAAAATACTCATATTTCTTTTATATTAAAAAAAGTTCAGTAATTATAGATAATTACATATTTAATATTCAATAATTTTCTAAAAAAATCAGTAATTATCTATTATTGTTAAATTATATTGGAAGTATAATTTCTTTAATAGCATTATCAGATAATTATAGTTGAGCTAGACTCGAAGAGTCATTACAAGATAATACTGTTTCTAACATATATTTTATTATATATATATTCTATATTTTGTTATTTTTCATAATAATTCTCTTTATTTAATATAGAAAATGTGATAGACCTTAAGAAAGAATTATATATTGCTCTCCAAGATTCTTTTGAGATAGTTTCATATAATGCTAAATCGCAGGATAGATATGAAAAACAAGAAAAAAAAATTAATTAAGAAAGAGAACAATAGAATTGGGATAGAAAGAAGCAAAATAAAAAACTAGAAGAGACTAATACTAAGATTCAGAAATTATGCACTCATAATCTTGAACTTATTGATAAAGCTAGACATTTACAGATTAAAAACACTAATAAAGACATTTTCTTGCAAAGTTCAAAGCTGAGAATAATATAAAATCTAAGAAAATTAGATCACTTGAGTCTATGATCAAGATATTAGAAGATAAGTTATCTTCAGCCCAGAAAGATGTAATTTTGATTCAAAACAACTCATCAAAAAAAGAAACTGAGATTACATCGCTCAAATTCAAAATAGCAAAATTGGAAAATATAAAGAGTGAATTGGAATTAAAGGTCAATGAACTTGAGTATCTAAAATCAGAGGCTATATCAAACTCTGTACTTGGTAGAAACGATAAAAAAAATATGACCAAGTTTGATAATATATCTGCAGTTATTAAACCTAGCAAAAATCTTAGACAATATTTTGTATACAGAAAAAGTATGGATTAAGCTAAAAAAATTGATCATGATATTTTAGCACAAACTAGCACTTTTGGTACTTGCTTCATTAATGATAAGATTACTGAACTACCAAAAATTGATACAAAGGTTAATTTTGAAGTAAAGAATAGAACTAGTATTAGTGAAATTAACAAGAATAATATACTAGATATATTGATAAAACCTAATAGATTACAGACTATATCTGAAAATGTAACTCCATACCTTATACAATTGGATAATAATATATTCACTTTGATTGAATTGAATTTTTAGATGAAACCTAGTCTTGAGGCTTTGCCTCTTCTGATAGAAAGAATAAAAGCAATCCCTGTAGCAAGCACTTTGATGTTACTGCTATTGGCATATATTTTCTTTATCTTGTTAATTATTATGTTTATGTGATTCATTATATTAAGACACACATAGAATATAAGTAAAAAAAGTGATCTGTTATAGGATACATGGGTTGGATAACTAAGACTATTGATTTGAACTTGAGTATTATTTATGTATGAAAAAATATTATTAATAATGTTTAAGTATTGCTAATATTGAAAAATATATTCGATACTTAACAATATAGAATAGCATAGCTAATTAATTCAAGACTTTAATATATTTCATAAGCTATTTTTTAGCTTCTTTTTGAGAATATGCATCAATCTGCTTTTCTTTCTTATCTGAATCTTTGAGTTGCATAATTTTATATAAAAAAGATAGTTGGTATCTTTTATCATCATTAATAAAGCGAGCATATAATCCTACAGTTTGTTCAAAATAGTGGCTAATATCTATTTCTGTATTGAGTTCTTTTGCAACATCTAAAAATTCCATGTAGTCTGCAACCCTTCATGGTTATTTTTTATCATTTTTATTATAAAGAAGATCACCTTTTACTACTATATAACTAAAGTGCTCACCAGAGTCTAGGATACTCAAACTTTTTTCTTTCATTGAGCTATAAAATATTAAATGCATTGGTTTTTTATTTTTGGTTTTTATGTAGCTATTGTAATAAAATTTACTAAAAACTATCAAGCTGTAGCAAATTTTAAAGTAATGAATATCAAATAGAAGATCTTTTTATTTAAAAGAATAAAAAAAAAGAAAAGAAGAAATATAAAAATAAATAAAATAATAACTAATTAAAAATGAAATTTAAATTCAATAGCCTCCTAAATACTATAAGAAGCTTTACAATAGGCCAGTTGTAGGGGAGATTTGACCTATTGTCCTTTTTGTATTGGCTAGACTTAACAAATAGTTTACCCTTTACAAGAATTACCTGTGCTAGACTTAGAAGTATTCTAAGACACTAGAAAAAGCAATTAGTAACAGATAATTAGACTGTTTTAAGCTATATATGGCTTTTTAAATTTCAATAACATAAAGCTAGTACCTGCCAAAGTATTATTCACAAATATAGCTATTACTTTATATTATTACAAGAAAGAAAAATAAAATATTCAATAATATAAAGCTAGTATT